TGAAAAAAAGGCATTAAGAAGAAAAATTAATATGAAAATATTTCATAGTAATAATTATATATAAAGTAAGAGACAAGGAGCAGGAATAAGGAGAGAGAGAGAGAGAGAGAGAGAGAGAGAGAGAGAGAGAGAGAGAGAGAGAGAGAGAGAGAAAGAGAGAGAGAGAATAGGAAGGAAGGTGAGGGAAGCAGGAGGAGGAGAAGAGAGCCGAGATCAATATGGCTGTGTTGGTTGGTAACGCAATCAGTGCCTGTGTTGAGTTGGCACTAGGGCCCCTCCCCTCCCCCTACAAACCCCTACCCACCCTCCCCCTCCCATACCCCTCCACACCCCTTCACCCCCCCTCCACCTCACCCTCCAACCCCCCCCCCCCCTCCATACCTAAACAGGGAAATAAACTTGATTAATAAGGACCCTCCCACCCACAAGGGGGAACAGGGGGTGACAAGACGCGGAATGGAAAACTAGTACACTCGACAGACAAACACTTCTTAAAGCAACACACCACAGAACCAACAAGAATAAGAGCCTCCGCCAGCAACACAAAACTTTGTGTCTACCCCAAAATGTTGAAAATTAAAACTATATTCCCTCAGATGTTGAAAATTTTGAGTCTGAGATGCTTGTTAGGTTGTAGGAACTTGATTAGCTTGTAGGAGCTGACAACCGGTGCAGTTGTTACGCCTGAACACCACATTAGAGCTGAAGGACTCTGTTACACACACACACAGACAACTGCTGCTGTGAAGAGCTTGCAGACGCAGCGACTACCCCAGCACGAGGGACTTTCCTGCGGAGAATCCAATGAGCAAAGAGAAATGGAAGATAAATTGTCATCCACACTTCCGTGTAAATAAACATTCTAGTCACATTTTGTCAGAAATGGAAGAGAAGACAGAAAATGAGATGATTCTTTGTTGGTAACTGTGCGGGTGCCAGGGAGCAGTTCACACCACTCAAGAAGGTGGTACGAGAACAGTGAAGCAAACTACTGCTTCAGTTGGCAACGCAAGGAAGATCAAGAAGCAAGAAGCAACAGAAGAAGACTGTTCTCCCAAAGAACAGTCTGCAAAAAAGGTACTAGATAACTAGGAAAAGAGGACGAGAGAGAAGCAATAAAGAGAACTTAAGTAGCATTAAAACCAATTGGCCAAAACCCAAAACTAAACTCATAATCTACTATTATAATGCCACAAAAGACAGCAGACTTAATAATGAAGAACAGTGTGAACAGAACAAACAGCACTCTCCATAAAGCTATCCTGGTATACCAGTACACTTGACCCTATGGAAGGATGTAACCTTTCTTCAGACTGTATTGGTATGACCACGACCAAAAACCCATATGCATAATACTGACGATCTGTCGCTATAACAATGGTCGAGGAACTCAGAAATACCTGATGCTTCAACTGACGGCAGGAGCATTCCGGACGCTATCTTCATCAAAGAGAAGACTTAACTTATACACACACAAAACAACGACTCTGCCTCGTTACCAAGTCTGAGGCCTCGACCCCCCAACCAATAACAGATGACGTGATAACAGAGGAACTCCCCGGTCATTCACTAAGACCCACGAAGCCCCACGTTACTCAAGATTCAAGACCCATTCACTAAGACCCACGAAGCCCCACGTTACTCAAGAATCAAGACCCATTCACTATAAGACCCACGAAGCCTCACGTTACTCAAGATTCAAGACCCATTCACTATAAGACCCACGAAGCCTCACGTTACTCAAGATTCAAGACCCATTCACTATAAGACCCACGAAGCCTCACGTTACTCAAGATTCAAGACCCATTCACTATAAGACCCACGAAGCCTCACGTTACTCAAGATTCAAGACCCATTCACTAAGACTCACGAAGCCTCACGTTACTCAAGAATCAAGACCCATTCACTAAGACCCACGAAGCCTCACGTTACTCAAGAATCAAGACCCATTCACTAAGACCCACGAAGCCTCACGTTACTCAAGATTCAAGACCCATTCACTAAGACCCACGAAGCCTCACGTTACTCAAGATTCAAGACCCATTCACTAAGACTCACGAAGCCTCACGTTAATCAAGATTCAAGACCTATTCACTATAAGACCCACGAAGCCTTACAGCTTCATTCAACTCCTCTCTATTTCATCTCTATGCATGCTGAACACCATATATATCTCACCTGAAGATGTTAAGGGCAGGAATGAAACGTTGAACACATAAATACATCATACAGTCATTGTTGTTGTATTTTATTCTAAAACTCAGACTGAGCATGAATTTCGGTATGTAATTACCCAACTGGGGACGCTGGGGCCAAGAAGACTGTTAAAAGCATCGTCTGCCTCAACATTAACAAGGCTAACAATGTGGCCGCTTTCAACTAAGTAGTTAATGTATGCATGTATAAATGCAAATGCAATATTGCCTTCATGCATTTATGCACTGGCTCTTGCCACACGCCCCCTCCCACCCTTCCCACCTCACTCCCTTCCCTGCTTCACCACACCCTCCCAAGCACCACCTTCCCCCCTTCCCACAACCCCCTTCCACTGGACGAGGCAGTTATTGGACCTCGGGCTAACCCTCCAGGCTAACAAATTCGGTCTTAATGTGGGTCGAAGTGCCATCACCTCCTGTCTCCCCTACTCCCTAGGTCGTATACCCCCTCTTCCTCCTGTGTGAGGGGGGGCAGAGGGGGGAGGGATAAGACCAGTGACCCAAAGCGGCGCGAAACAGGAATGGAAACTGCCATTAAACTGGAGTTTACAACCCGTTGTAAACTCTCACTCCAGCGCCCACTTTTTTAGTTTACTTAAACTTTTTTCCTCTTGTACCTTGGAAAATAGTTTACCAAATTCTTTAAGATTATTTTAGCTCACGGATTATATGTCGTGGTTCAGAGAGGATAATTGGTGTTTTGTATGTTTTTCTCCCTTTAACTTGTCGTGTAGTAAATGGTTGTGTTAGGCACGTTAACTGGGAAGTAACGACGTAGCTGGTGGACTCTAGTGGGAGTTATGGCTCTGTCTGTCTGTCTCTGTCTGTCTGTCTGTCTCTCTCTCTCTCTCTCTCTCTCTCTCTCTCTCTCTCTCTCTCTCTCTCTCTCTCTCTCTCTCTCTCTCTCTCTCTCTCTCTCTCTCTCTCTCTCTCTCTCTCTCTCTCTCTCTCTCTCTCTCTCTCTCTCTCTCTCTCTCTCTCTCTCTCTCTCTCTCTCTCTCTCTCTCTCTCTCTCTCTCTCTCTCTCTCTCTCTCTGTCTCTCTCTCTCTCTCTCTCTCTCTCTCTCTCTCTCTCTCTCTCTCTCTCTCTCTCTCTCTCTCTCTCTCTCTCTCTCTCTCTCTCTGTTCTCTCTCTCTCTCTCTCTCTCTCTCTCTCTCTCTCTCTCTCTCTCTCTCTCTCTCTCTCTCTCTCTCTCTCTCTCTCTCTCTCTCTCTCTCTCTCTCTCTCTCTCTCTCTCTCTCTCTCTCTCTCTCTCTCTCTCTCTCTCTCTCTCTCTCTCTCTCTCTCTCTCTCTCTCTCTCTCTCTCTCTCTCTGACTGTTTATGGTGACACGTAAACTCCTCGAATTAAAACCAAACTTTTCTTGCCATTGAGGTCAGAGATACAAGTTCATCAACATGCACTAACACTCAAAATATTTACACAGACCTGTATCAAAAGTCGCACTTAAGGATTTACCAACACTCAAACTAACATTTATCCAGTGTTACTTACTGAAGGACGAGGCACTCACGTGGCGGAGTGGGCGCCGCGTTGATGATTGCTACCTGTGGAAGGTGGTCGATGGCTGGGGGGGAGGAGCTACCCCCTAGTGTAGCACCCCCTGCCATCTTAGTGTTTAGCTAAAACTAACTTCTAGTTCCTTTAATGCCTGATTAAACTAACTTGCTTGAGGAAACTAACTCTTGTTGACAATACATAGACGGTACACACACAAGGGGGCACAGGTGGACGCTGAGTACTCAAATGAAGATATGATAGAGCCCAATAGGCTCAAGAATCTGTACTCCAGTTGACTGTGACGGTTGAGAGGCGGGACCAAAGAGCCAGAGCTCAACCTCCACAAGTACAACAATTAGGTGAGTACGTCACTTACACTCAAGGACTCTCATCGACCGCTGCCTCCTCCACACCTGTCTGTTCCTCCACCACTACCACACCTGTCTTGGCCTCCACCACTACCACACCTGTCTTGTCCTCCACCACTACCACACCTGTCTTGTCCTCCATACCTGTAGAACCTCTCTTCTCTCTCCACACCTTTCCCTAAATACAATATATATATATATATATATATATATATATATATATATATATATATATATATATATATATATATATATAATATGAACGTTACAATATGTGTCCCTACAGACACATATTGAAGAAGAATGAAGAACTCTATGAAGAACTCTCCAGACACGGAACAGAACGCCCTGAGAGAGACCAACGTCGTCTATGCCTTCACATGTCCACTTGGGGATTGTCAGCCCCAAAGATCTCAGTATATAGGCAAGATAACAACGTCTGTCTCTCTCTCTCTCTCTCTCTCTCTCTCTCTCTCTCTCTCTCTCTCTCTTTAGGTGATTACCAATGCACAATTATCGTTGCGTTAATGATCTATGGGGTAATTACACTCTGGTGCAGTGGTGGTTAGCGCAGCTGTGTTGTTCACTCACTAGTACCTAGGTGATTACCTGGGCTGCAGCACTCGTCTCTACCTGGTGCCTCATTGGTGCTCTCTCTCTCTCTCTCTCTCTCTCTCTCTCTCTCTCTCTCTCTCTCTCTCTCTCTCTCTCTCTCTCTCTCTCTCTCTCTCTCTCTCTCTCTCTCTCTCTCTCTCTCTCTCTCTCTCTCTCTGTTCGCAACACCTGGAAGCAACACACAACAGGGGACGCAGCTGTAGACGCACTACCTGGAAGCAACACACAAGAGGGGACGCAGCTGTGGACGCACTACCTGGAAGCAACACACAAGAGGGGACGCAGCTGTGGACGCACTACCTGGAAGCAACACACAAGAGGGGACGCAGTTGTGGACGCACTACCTGGAAGCAACACACTGCGAGTAAGCGATGGGCTCAACCCCTTCCACTACCATCCCGCCTCACACTTTCACACGCGCCATCACCCCGCGCAACTCTCCCACAGGTGTTTGTCCTCAGCACTTGTGTCGAGGACAAGACGTCGAGGCTCCTCCAGGGACCACGGTAGACAGGGACCTCCAGGGACCACGGTAGACAGGGACCTCCAGGGACCACGGTAGACAGGGACCTCCAGGGACCACGGTAGACAGGGACCTCCAGGGACCACGGTAGACAGGGACCTCCAGGGACCACGGTAGACAGGGACCTCCAGGGACCACGGTAGACAGGGACCTCCAGGGACCACGGTAGACAGGGACCTCCAGGGACCACGGTAGACAGGGACCTCCAGGGACCACGGTAGACAGGGACCTCCAGGGACCACGGTAGACAGGGACCTCCAGGGACCACGGTAGACAGGGACCTCCAGGGACCACGGTAGACAGGGACCTCCAGGGACCACGGTAGACAGGGACCTCCAGGGACCACGGTAGACAGGGACCTCCAGGGACCACGGTAGACAGGGACCTCCAGGGACCACGGTAGACAGGGACCTCCAGGGACCACGGTAGACAGGGACCTCCAGGGACCACGGTAGACAGGGACCTCCAGGGACCACGGTAGACACGGACCTCCAGGGACCACGGTAGACAGGGACCTCCAGGGACCACGGTAGACAGGGACCTCCAGGGACCACGGTAGACAGGGACCTCCAGGGACCACGGTAGACAGGGACCTCCAGGGACCACGGTAGACACGGACCTCCAGGGACCACGGTAGACAGGGACCTCCAGGGACCACGGTAGACAGGGACCTCCAGGGACCACGGTAGACAGGGACCTCCAGGGACCACGGTAGACAGGGACCTCCAGGAACCACGGTAGACAGGGACCTCCAGGGACCACGGTAGACAGGGACCTCCAGGGACCACGGTAGACAGGGACCTCCAGGGATCATCAGTAACAAAAGCGCGGGCTCCGACCGGCTGTCGGAGTCCGCGCAGGGAACAATGTCATCTGTGGGAATTAAGGCCTTTATTAGAAGAACCGTTCTGCTGTGGTGCTGCACGACCTCTCAGGAGACCGGAGCGTGGCACCCTCTGGCACCCTGCGGCACCTTCCGGCACCCTATGGCACCCTCTGGCACCCTGCGGCACCTTCCAGCACCCTGTGGCAACCTGTGAGAGTGTGCCAGCCTGCCTCATTGAGTTTTTTTTTATTATTGTTTTCTACCACAGACGTGGCCACTCCATACACAGTTTTAAGTGTAGATATAATAGAGCCCAATAGGCTCAGGAACCTGTACACCTGTTGATTGACGGTTGAGAGGCGGGACCAAAGAGCCAGAGCTCAACCCCCGCAAGCACAACTAGGTGAGTACAACTAGGTGAGTACATTTACAATACTAACCAGCATATATACATTTTCTTCTGTCCTCCATGGACAGGGGTAGAGATCAGTTAAAAATATAGTTCAGGGGTTTATTGAACACTCAACCACAGAAGGTGATTCGGTGCTTTTAAAATGCTAAGCTAACCTACATACGTAAATACATAGATACACAGATTTACGTATGCCCTACATAAAGTGTTCGAAGTGTCATTAATGTGCATTTACAAAGATGAAATGCAATTCTGATCAGCATCCACATGTACTTTATACACATATACATACACACACACACACATACGTACATATAGATATATACATACATATATATATACACACATGCATTCACATACAATTGTCTCTTTTACTCTGACAGGGTGAGATAGCTTATAGAGAAACTAGTGTGTAATTAAGAACTTAACCACTGAAGGTGATTAAGATGCTTTTACAAGCTCAGGTTATATAGTTACATCACATACATTGTATAATTGATACATTACATGGTCAATCTTGGGTACAAGTCCAATATATCATCAAGTGTTCCAGTACTCATATAGTAGTTACACAGTTCAGCATACCTTAGCCCAGGAGGGCGAAAGTCAGTCAATATGGGACATTCTACAAAATAATGTTCATGGGAGTGCATGTTTTCTCTTTCACAAAGTTGTGTGGGGTTGTGGTTGCTGTTCTCTTCGGCAGACATCCGGCCTTTCTCATATGATTCTAATCCTGCTGTTCAGCCATTAGGAGACTCCGTAACACCAAAGCCCTTAACATATCTTGATTGCTCTAAGGGCAAGAAGGACCTCTGGCCCGGGTCCTGATGGGATTACTATGCGCCACCTCAAGGCGCTCAGGATTCTCACTAAACTGTTCAGTTTGTGGATAATTAACTAATCCATGCCACGACCCTCTGGAAGCAATAGGACTGTGCTGATACCGACCAAGTCTACGCCACAAACTCACTCCCGCTATCGTAGATAACTATGTCATCTACGATAGTAAGGCTGCTTCGTACGATCCTGAGCAGCAGACTCTCTAAGACAGTCAGGATCGACGGACAGCAGAAGGCGTTCGTCCCTATGGATAGATATGCTGTATCGGGCATCCAAGATTGCGATCTTGGATGTTTCTGGCTGAGGTCTGAAACATCCAACGCACCTGGCGTTCCTGGATGCAAAAAAAAAAGCCTTTGACAGCTTCTACTATCCGGCCATCCATGTCCTCCACCACTACCACACCTGTCTTGTCCTCCACCACTACCACACCTGTCTTGTCCTCCACCACTACCACACCTGTCTCATCCTCCACCACTACCACACCTGTCTTGTCCTCCACCACTACCACACCTGTCTTGTCCTCCACCACTACCACACCTGTCTTGTCCTCCACTACTACCACACCTGTCTCGTCCTCCATTGAACGCAAATGTAATTCCTGAGGCCTTCAGCGAGTATATATTGTCGGGTTATGATAGAGCCTCAGCCATCATTTCCATCCAGAAAGATAAGTCTAAAGTAATCCCTGTAACTAGGGGATTTAAGCAGGGAAAGTTGAGGATAATCCTTGTAACTTAGGGAGTTAGACAGGGAGAGCCTTTGTCTCTGGTCCTTTCTTGGATCTACGAAACAATTCTGTTCACCACAGCAAGGTTAGGATATTGTGGAAACCGTAAGCTATAGAGCAACGATAGCGTTGTCGAATGGCAATCACAGCGACTTCCTAGCATCTTTGAGATACGATATTACTGTGCAAGAAAGTTACAAAGAACTAAGACTTTCGTCACAGCTAAAAGACTGACTGTAAGTAGCTCAGCCTGTAAGTTTGTCCACTCAGTCCACTCAGACTAAGACAGTTTGCAATTTGTCCGCTCAGCGCAATCTCTGCATATGCTAGGATTTGATGGAAAAACTATACCCCAAAACAGTATGAGGAGTGTTGCCGGGTGTTGGTTGGGCCGCATGTGTATGTGATTCAAGACCAACCAACACCTACAGGGTATTGTTGGTGTGTTGGTATTGGTACTGTGGTATAGCCAATGGATTGATCCCGGGCCTTGCAAGTTCGCATCCTGGTCAGATCATTGAGTTTATAATCATTTATAAAGAATTATATTAGTACAAGACAATTATATTATTGGGTTTGTGTTGTCATTTTCGAAGACAAAACTGTTATCCAAGTATATATCTGAGTGTAACTGCGCCGTGCGTGCAGGCGTTCGTGTGCGTGAATACGCTTGCATAGGGTGCATATATGCACGCATGCGGGCACACAGCGTGAACTCAGGCGTGCGTGAATGAGCGTGTGCGTGAACATGCGGGACTTATGGGTGTACGTGAGTACGAGCGAGTACGTGGTATGTGGTACAAGCACGGGGCGTTCGTGGGCGTGCGTGTTCCCGTGCACATAACAGAATGGTTGTACTTACGAGAGTAGAGCAACGTCGGTGGACGACGTCACAGTTGACGTTAAAATAACCAAAAATGCCCACTTGGGGGGGAATACTTTTTTATATTGGTACATGACTGGGTAGCGAACCAAGTGTGGCGAGGGATCTTTGACAAGCCGCCGGTTTCCTGTCGTTGCCGAGGACACTAGAGAGATAGTCCCCCCTCAGGTAAATTCAGGAAATACAGCCGTATTAAAAAAAATAGCATAGTTTGTTATGAGCATGACAGTGATCATCTCAGCCGACGCTATATGTAAAGGCACTGTTCCCAGATTTTATACACTGCAGCGTCTGAATATTTCTTTCAGTTACCCATTAAAATATTTCTTCTTTTTTCTACGATTGTTAAAAGAAAACGTTTTTATTCTGGGTATACTATTAGAAGAAAATATTTGCTACGTGCAACAAAGGAATAACGCTATTAGAAAATTAGGAATAAACAAGAAAACAGAGACAGAAAAATAGGAACAAACAAGAAAACCAGGAAAAATATAGTCAAACAAGAACTGTGAAATACCACATTCTTGCTATAGAACTATAATAACAGAACACTGGCTTGGGGCACTGCATAGCAACTGTATCGAACACTGCCGCCGGAGGGACATCCTGCAGGTCGATATATCAGCCACTCAGCCAGGTGACAGGTGAAGGTGATTGACAGAAAGCCATCTCGCTTTACGGGGTGACCAACATCACATCCAATGGAGGTTGACAAGCGAAGAGCCCCGTCAACCCCTTACAGCGGTTGACGGGGCAGGAAATCCCCGTTACTTGAGAACGCTCCTTGTATAGCGCCTCTCTTCACGTAGTAGTATTGGTGTGGAGAGTAGACGCTATAATATGCTTTATTCCAGCCTGCAGGCAACACAGTGGGTCAAGGCTCCCTTACTACTCCTTTCTGCAGGCAACATGATTGGTCAAGGCTCCCTTACTACTCCTTTCTGCAGGCAACATGATTGGTCAAGGCTCTCTTACTACTCCTTTCTGCAGGCAACATGATTGGTCAAGGCTCCCTTACTACTCCTTTCTGCAGGCAACATGATTGGTCAAGGCTCCCTTACTGCTCCTTTCTGCAGGCAACATGATTGGTCAAGGCTCCCTTACTACTCCTTTCTGCAGGCAACATGATTGGTCAAGGCTCCCTTACTACTCCTTTCTGCAGGCAACATGATTGGTCAAGGCTCTCTTACTACTCCTTTCTGCAGGCAACACAGTGCGTCATGACTCCCTTACTTCTCCAGTCTGCGGGCAACACGGTGGGTCAAGGCTGCCTTACTGCTCCAGCCTGCAGGCAACACGGTGGGTCAAGGCTCCCTTACTGCTCCAGCCTGCAGGCAACACGGTGGGTCAAGGCTGCCTTACTGCTCCAGCCTGCAGGCAACACGGTGGGTCAAGGCTCCCTTACTTCTCCAGTCTTCAGGCAACACGATTGGGCATGACTCCCTTACTGCTCCAGCCTGCAGGCAACACGGTGGGTCAAGGCTCCCTTACTGCTCCAGTCTTCAGGCAACACGATTGGGCATGACTCCCTTACTGCTCCAGCCTGCAGGCAACAAAATACTGGTAAAAGGACTGGGAGAAGGGAAGCTACAACTTGGCGCAGGCAACACAGGAATCAGAGCAGACAGAAAAAAGCAAAAAGATCTGCCACATGACGAAGGAAGCTTTCAGGATTTTGTATAGTATCTCTACATTCTTTCTCTCATACGGATCAGGTGACACAAGCTTACTCTTACCACTTCTAGTCCTTAGATATTACGTTTCTTGGGTTAGAATGACTCTGTCTATATCAAAAAGGGAGGACTAAGCGTGATGACCTGCCATAGGTTCCTGGTTGTAAAGAACATGAGGTGGATATAGGTACACTGTACCTATATTACACCAGTACTATAAGAGAGGGGGAAGCCGTGCTTAAAACTGTATCGATTCAATCCATAGACTATTCTGAGGCTTAATTTACGACGTGTCTTTGAACTTACGACGTGTCCCTGCACTTACGTTACGAGGAAGACTGTGGACACTAAACCTCACCACACTGGAAAGGAAATAGACAAGATGAGAAATGATCACAACATACAAGATTATAAGCCCATTGATAAATAGCGTTGGTCGGAATCATTTGTTTAGCATGAACAGATGAGTCAGAAGAATGTCAGAAAGGACTTTCTCACTGTGAGAATGTCGAGCATGTGGAATGATCTGCAAGGGATTTAATGAGTAACTGAGGAAAAGAAACAAGCCGATGTGGACCCATTTTTATGGGAAATCGTTGATATAGAAAGGCTGAGACCCAAGAGCTGAAGCTCGCTCTGCACGCACATGCATGAGTCCACGACCACAATAAAGGTACGCCACGTTGCCAGGCACAGTACTGCAGTACCCCCATGACACCTGAATGTATAGATTTCTTCCTGAACTGACGCGACACACACACTGGGGGACGCTGAGACACAGACATGAGAGTGGCATAGGAGACAGTCACGTTATGAGAGATAGTCTCATAAGACACGGTCACATGAGAAACAATTCCATAAAAGATAGACATTAGGTTCCCTTACTAAGTCAACCATCAGGTAAGGTGACTGGCCAAGGCTCCCTTAGTGAACCAATTTGGCCCCATAGGACTCTATTCCAGTAAGGTTTCACCACCCATTTGGCCCTACTCCAGAAAGGATTCACATTCTATGTGAATCCCCCATCATCTTCCCCCTCCCACACACCCAGGGTGTAGGCGGTCACAAGACTTAGCAACAGTCAATACTTTAGTTAGTCAATACAGCTTAATAATTTAGGTCAGGACATGTTAGTGTTTTTAACCCAACAAAGAAACCCTTAGCGACCTAAATTCTTCCCTTCCTGTCCTGTCTCAACCCACCTAGACCTACCCTGTCCTGTCTCAGCCCACCTAGACCTACCCTGTCCTGCCTCCACCCACCTGGACCTACCCTATCCTGTCTCAGCCCACCTGGACCTACCCTGTCCTGTCTCAGCCCACCTGGACCTACCCTGTCCTGCCTCCACCCACCTGGACCTACCCTGTCCTGTCTCAGCCCACCTGGACCTACCCTGTCCTGTCTCAGCCCACCTGGACCTACCCTGTCCTGTCTCAGCCCACCTGGACCTACCCTGTCCTGTCTCAACCCACCTAGACCTACCCTATCCTGTCTCAGCCCACCTAGACCTACCCTATCCTGTCTCAGCCCACCTAGACCTACCCTATCCTGTCTCAACCCACCTGGACCTACCCTGTCCTGTCTCAACCCACCTGGACCTACCCTGTCCTGTCTCAGCCCACCTAGACCTATCCTGTCCTGCCTCCACCCACCTAGACCTACCCTGTCCTGTCTCAACCCACCTGGACCTACCCTGTCCTGTCTCAACCCACCTAGACCTACCCTGTCCTGCCTCAACCCACCTCATGATGTCACCTCACGAGTTCAACTCGTGAGGCAGGCTGGTACAATGATAGGTCGGGTCTGTTAGCTAGGAGGATGTTACTCCTGGCAATAGACATCCATGGCTCATGGTCAGCCTATATATATATATATATATATATATATATATATATATATATATATATATATATATATATATATATATATATATATATATATATATATATATAATTGGTAAAGAAAGAAACACAGTTTAGTAGTGTAAATATTTTATTGTTAATAATACCTTGAACTACTTTCTTTTAGTTTATATATATATATATATATATATATATATATATATATATATATATATATATATATATATATATATATATATATATATATATATAGGCTGATATGATTTTGGTTAATGTCGACAAAATATCACAGATCTAAAGGCATGTTAAATTAATATTCTTGCAGGAAGCAAATCGTCGTTTTTCCCCTGTGAGCGGCCGAGCACCAGAGGTGGTGAGAAAGGCGGCCTCCTGTGGGTCTCTATAGGCACGAGAGCACACACATCCTCTTCCTGTGGGTAGTGGTTGTGCACAGACGCTGAAGCTGGCAGCTACCATGTGCTACTTCGTACATATGGCGTGTGTGTGTGTACAGTAATTACAGGATGGGAGTTAACGCTCGTGGTGTCCCGTCTTCCCAGCACTCTTTGTCGTATAATGCTTTGTGTGTGTGTGTGTGTGTGTGTGTGTGGGTTAATATGTCAGGTTAAAGTAACCGGTTCAACTCTCTATTGTAGGTGGTGTAGGCCTAGCCTAAATATGTGTGTGGGTAGACCTAAGCCATACTACCACTGGCTACATGGTCCTGGCCAGTGAGAGGTCACCAACACCTATGACCTGACCTTGTTTATGGTGACTTATTGCCTGTTTATAAACGTTATAAATAGTTTTTATAACGTTTATAATTTATAAATATAATTTATATAACTTTTTGGGGAGATTTTTATAATAGCACAAAAACAGAAGACTTACAAAGTTCGGAAGAGTTAGTAAACATAAATAAATACCTGAAAACATTTTTTGATATATATATATATATATATATATATACATATATATATATATATATATATATATGTCGTACCTAGTAGCCAGAACGCACTTCTCGGCCTACTATGCAAGGCCCGATTTGCCTAATAAGCCAAGTTTTCCTTAATTATTATATTTTCTCCATTTTTTTTCTTATGTGATGATAAAGCTACCCATTTCATTATGTATGAGGTCAATATTTTTCTATTGGAGTTAAATTAACGTAGATATATGACCAAACCTAACCAACCCTACCTAACCTAACCTAACCTATCTTTTTAGGTTAGGTTAGGTTAGGTAGCCGAAAAAGTTAGGTTAGGTTTGGTTAGGTAGGTTAGGTAGTCGAAAAAACAATTAATTCATGAAAACTTGGCTTATTAGGCAAATCGGGCCTTGCATAGTAGGCAGAGAAGTGCGTTCTGGCTATTAGGTACGACATATATATATATATATATATATATATATATATATATATATGTGTGTATATCACGAAAATAAACACGTGATTAAGAATGTGACAATGTCAGACCACGGAGGAAAAATGAAACAGGAAATTTCCTTAAGTACTTTCGTATATTAAATACATCTTCACCTTCTGAAGATGTATTTAATATACGAAAGTACTTAAGGAAATTTCCTGTTTCATTTTTCCTCCGTGGTCTGACATTGTCATATATATATATATATATATATATATATATATATATATATATATATATATATATATATATATATATATATATATATATATATATATATATATATATATATATATATATAATTTGTCTTGAAACAGCTTCAATAAAGGACACAACAGGTTACTGCTGTTTATAATAAAATCATGTTTGTATTAAATGTGAACCTTTTAAGCGAGGTACCGACAATTGAGAGAGAGAGAGAGAGAGAGAGAGAGAGAGAGAGAGAGAGAGAGAGAGAGAGAGAGAGAGAGAGAGAGAGAGAGAGAGGGAGAGGATCTTAAATAATATATGAAAGGACCGATCATGTGACATTTGTTGGTGATACACATAGAATTTTTCTCCTCAATTCTAGAGCAATATATATATATATATATATATATATATATATATATATATATATATATATATATATATATATATATATATACAGTTAGTTACACTAGTGCCCCCTCTGGAAACATCACCCTCTAAGCCACCTCTCATATCAGCTATTGTCAGACACAAGATTCCTGTAATCTTATTACTCCGGGTTCGAGGGAGGGATTAAGAGGCTTCGTTTAAACCCTGCACTCACCCCTCCAGAGACCAACTGTCCTTACCAGGTCGTCAGTTCTCAAGGAGTCTGTGACACCTCGACATTTTATTTTGTTTCTTCAATTTGGTTTTTATATCAGTTACCGGTCGTCACAACTAAGCGGTCGCGTTTTTTATGTTACGGTTATCGACGTTATATATGTATTTTTATTATGACAAGTGACTGCTTGCGAATATCTACGGTTTCTATGCATCGGACTCGATAGGTAGGGTGACTTGCTTATATTCGAACGGAGTAACGAAGAAGTAGCACAGAAAGGGTGGTCGGATTATGTCTATATCTCAAGTCTTTTACTCGTACTGTTTCTGCCCTTTTTTTCCTTAAGGTGTGTTTACCTACAGGTCTTCCGAGCAGAAAATATACGTAGGGAACACCAGCGGGTCGAGGCTTTATCAGAGAATATCAGCTTGCAACTGAATGCCATTTGAGCCACAGCTGATTCAGTGATGAGATATCCCCAACAACTCTACTGATGCTACTTCATAGATCACGAGATATCTCCCACGACTCTGCTGATGCTGCTGCTGCTGCAGGCGAAGTTATCGGTGAAGTCATGGAGAGTGTGGAGGGTGTAGACGCCGGTGTACCCGCTCCAACGTTCCACACGGAGCCGCTGCGTCGCCGCCCGCAGCTGCTGCTGCTCGCCGGCTGACGACGTCAACACCTCCAGCAGCACGACGTATTTGAACGTTTCCTTCGGCACCCGCGGCGGCGCCTTCGACGAGCTCCCACTCTCTCTGACGTACCTGAAGTGGAGAGGGAAGGCTGTTATGTGGACTTATGGCAGCACAGGACTCACAGAGAGAGAGAGAGAGGGAAAAACTCACAGAGAGAGAAGTAGGGGGGTACTAGGACTCACAGAGAGAGAAGTAGGGGGCACTAGGACTCACAGAGAGAGAAGTAGGGGGCACTAGGACTCACAGAGAGAGAAGTAGGGGGTACTAGGACTCCCAGAGAGAGAAGTAGGGGGCACTAGGACTCACAGAGAGAGAAGTAGGGGGCACTAGGACTCACAGAGAGAGAAGTAGGGGGCTACTAGGACTCACAGAGAGAGAAGTAGGGGGCACTAGGCCTCACAGAGAGAGAAGTAGGGGGTACTAGGCCTCACAGAGAGAGAAGTAGGGGGCTACTAGGACTCACAGAGAGAGAAGTAGGGGGGCACTATGACTCACAGAGAGAGAAGTAGGGGGCACTAGGACTCACAGAGAGAGAAGTAGGGGGCTACTAGGACTCACAGAGAGAGAAGTAGGGGGGCACTAGGACTCACAGAGAGAGAAGTAGGGGGTACTAGGACTCCCAGAGAGAGAAGTAGGGGGCACTAGGACTCACAGAGAGAGAAGTAGGGGCACTAGGACTCACAGAGAGAGAAGTAGGGGGCTACTAGGACTCACAGAGAGAGAAGTAGGGGGCACTAGGCCTCACAGAGAGAGAAGTAGGGGGCACTAGGCCTCACAGAGAGAGAAGTAGGGGGCACTAGGACTCACAGAGAGAGAAGTAGGGGGCACTAGGACTCACAGAGAGAGAAGTAGGGGGCTACTAGGACTCACAGAGAGAGAAGTAGGGGGCACTAGGCCTCACAGAGAGAGAAGTAGGGGGTACTATGACTCACAGAGAGAGAAGTAGGGGGTACTAGGACTCACAGAGAGAGAAGTAGGGGGTACTAGGACTCACAGAGAGAGAAGTAGGGGGTACTAGGACTCACACAGAGAGAAGTAGGGGGTACTAGGACTCCCAGAGAGAGAAGTAGGGGGTACTAGGACTCACAGAGAGAGAAGTAGGGGGTACTAGGACTCACAGAGAGAGAAGTAGGGGGCACTAGGACTCACAGAGAGAGAAGTAGGGGGTACTAGGACTCACAGAGAGAGAAGTAGGGGGTACTAGGACTCACAGAGAGAGAAGTAGGGGGAACTAGGACTCACACAGAGAGAAGTAGGGGGCACTAGGACTCACAGAGAGAGAAGTAGGGGGTACTAGGACTCACAGAGAGAGAAGTAGGGGGTACTAGGACTCACAGAGAAAGAAGTAGGGGGTACTAGGACTCACACAGAGAGAAGTAGGGGGCACTAGGACTCACACAGAGAGAAGTAGGGGGTACCAGGACTCACAGAGTGATGGTGGAGACAGGGAGCTTCTTGTCCCTGAGGTGAGTATAGGCCTCCCACGCCCCTGACCAGCGCACCCAGCCGTCCAGCAACTGGGGGTCGGTGGAGTCCTCCAGGGCCTTGTAGGCCAGCACCAGCAGGTGTTTCACCCGCCACTCTCCTCCTGACCCCTGTGGCGACGAGCGACCACCGCACGCCATGCCTCCCGCCTCCAGGATTAGGGTCAGTTTAGCGTGCTCGTAGTAGCTGTCTGTGGGAAGGGAGATTAACTGTGTATATACTTTTGTGTGTGTGTGTGTGTGTGTGTGTGTGTGTGTGTGTGTGTGTGTGTGTGTGTGTGTGTGTGTGTGTGTGTTTCACCAGATATTTACACTACAATGAAAGGTTGAAACTCGAGTTGTTTTTGAGACCTGCTGACGTGAAGGAAATACACATATACAAAATAATTTATTGCAGAAATAAAGTACACATATACAAAATACATCACAGAAAGTGAAAATAGTTCGAGACCTATGAAAACTCCCGTGAAAATCTGCGTGTAAAACATCGTCCATTTATACAGGATTCATAGAAAGTCTATTTACATAAAAAGCCTAATTATATTTTTTACCCGGGATGGGGGAAAAATTTAATATTTTACACTAGTTATTAAGCATTTACATAACCACTAACGAAACCTGTACATCTTTCCTGACTCATGGCGACTATTAAACATTTCACAAGCTTGGCAGCTCCACGACCCGAGGTCATTATTGCCTCGTAGTGCTTCGGAACTCATACAGTTGTAAATACATGTAAATATATATATATTTCGCCGTGATTGAGGAAAGATGAAGAGGCTTCGCAGGTGGTTATTAGCGTTAATACTTGATAAATCTTGACCGCGGCTCCTGACAAGAATACCACGCCATTATGTCTAGTGTCAAGCATCTTTAATTGTATTTAGTAGAACAAATAAAACCGAACCAGCAGATAATAAACCGTACCTTGAAGCAAGGTGAAATTGTTGCCGAGGGCCTTCCTGTCCTGTCCTCGGCTCTCCTTCCTTGACAAACCCAACCGCAAGTCCTTAGCGAAGTGAGCCACCGGATACCACAGCAGCGGCTCTGTAAGACAATCCCCTCCAGTCAAACAATACATAACCACAGATGTGGGCTAGAATACGTTATGTAAGAGTTACCCCTTATAAAACGAAGATGGATTTTCAAAATATTTTGGTTTCCCCGATTCGCTCTGGGTATTAGTGGCTTTTGGTTAAATACATTTGATGTAACTGCAAATCTTCAACTGTAAATTGATCACATATGTATTGATTAACTAAAAGTTAATTTAATTTTCCTAATTTTAATTTCGTTTGTCGTTATAATGGTTTGGTTCAAAATTGTTACTCCAGTCCTTAACAAATTACACACCGGATTTATGTAAATAAATAATTAAAAGTAAATAAAAATAATAAAAATTAACGTTCACTATACACTTTTATTGTATGTTTTTAAGTTCGTTTTCTTGTTTTTTGGGTTAATTCTAAAATGAAGTTTCAGAAATGAATACACTGAGGAGTGGACTGCAAACCTCGGTGTATATACACTTAAATTAGACTTCAGCCCTGACTAAAATATACTTTAGTCCTGTACATAGGACTATATGTTTATACTGCTGATTGGTTGCCCTTAATAACCCTCCAGAGATTGACAAGCCTTCAGCCCAACACCAAACCAACAAACATTTTAATATATAAATTTAAGTAGATTATAAATATAAGGACGGATGACGCAAAATTAATGAGAAGAGTTGTGACAGATGAGGATTGTAGGATCCTCCAAGAGGACCTAGACAGGTTGTAGAGATGGTCATGACTACTGGAGTTCAACTCAAGTAAATGTAAAGTTAGGTGAAAAGGCAAAGTGTAAAAGTAAAGATGTAAAGGCGACTTAAAAACACTGAACTCTGTGAACAATCAAGACTCAGAGACTGGCTGTCCCTGTCAAGAAGGGCAGACTGTTGCATTTTCTATGGACAGGCGTCTGGGGACAGTCTTAGTTTATCGTGGCCTTGATTCCTGTGAGTGGAGGAGGAGCAGGGTGAGGGGAACATAGGGTGAAGGAAACAGGGTGAGGGAAACATAGGGTGAGGGAAACATAGGGAATATATATAACAAGAGATCGGTGACAGAAAGAATTCCAAGCATACGCAGTGTGATGATAATCCACAGTAATTATACTTTTCTGTAATTATACTCCACAGTAATGATTCTCCCTGTAATTATACTGCCCGGTAATTGTACCGTAATTCCGATTGCACAGCTCCAGTTACTTGTCAGATTACTTAGGAGTTATTACTTGTCAAACACTGTATAAATAACTATACTTCGACCAGAGACTGACCATCAGGGCCTGAACACCACTCACCGCCCATCTCCTCGGAAGCGTCGGCCTCTATGGCGTTGAGGATGTAGCCCTCAGCGAAGTGTCGATTGTCGTGGAGGGCTTGCGCCAGGAGCCCTCGGAGGTCCCTGTGTCGCTGCTCCCACCTGATGAAAGAGAGCACTGCGCGAGGCTTGTGGCCGGGCCGAGCGGACGACAGAATTCGAGGGAGGCGCTGCTGGGACACCACGACGGCCGCAGACCCACTCCTGTCCAGGGAGGAAGACGCCACGGTTAGTTTAAATTGCTCGTCACATAACGTCCATTCTCACAATCGACTTGAGAATGGTCCAGGACGGACCGAAACGTCGTCGCTTCACTTTCTAGTGTGCGGTTTGGTCAACATATTTCAGCCACGTTATTGTGACTCCTCGTCTGCATAATGTCCAGAGTTACACGTTAATGCTCACTTACCACAACACATCAAGAGGCTTGAAATTCATCGCATGCTTGTACCAACTAGGAGAATACGGCCCCCAACACCTTCAGGGGAAAAAAAATCAGTTAACACTGCTGATAACAGAATTAAACAAACACTCTCTGTCCTTAACACCAAAATTATCACCAAAGTTGGTGTACATCACTAACAATGTGTGACGTTCTTTACAAAAGTTAAGACATATGCAACGCTTTTCAGGTCACGCAATCGTAATTTTGAGGAGTTTGTGTTCTCGTAAATCATAGCCTAGGACCCTCAACACGTCCGCAAGTGCGGTTATATTTATGAAAGTTTTGAAGCCTAGTCTACTGGAATATAGCACCTTGATCCTGGAGTGAATAATACAGCTTGGAGGGGTGGAGGCAGGTGTGTGGGAGACAGAAACAGGTGTGTCACAGGCGAGGGACAGGTGTGCATGAGTCAGGAACAGGTGTGTCACAGGCGGATGGTGTGTGTTTGAATAATTGACAGCCACACCACAAGCCGTCTATCTGGTGGTCGCGCGGGGCCAGATCTGAGCCAGACACGCACACGCAAACACACACGCACGCACATGCACACACACACGCACGCACATGCACACACACGCACGCACATGCACACACACACACACACACACACACACACACACACACACACACGCACACACACACACGCACACACACACACACACACACACACACACACACACACACACACACGCACACACACACACGCACACACACACACACGCACACACACACGCACACACACAGCCACACACACACACACACACACAGCCAATCAACTGTACATCAGTTTATTGACAGTTGAGAGGCGGGACCAGAGAGCCAGAGCTCAATCCCCGTAAGCACAATTAGATGAGAACACATACACTCACCCCTTACCAAAACTATTCCTGCCTACCCTGATAAAATCCAAGAGTTGGCAAATAAGTGATCACTAGAAATCAATCCCAACAAGTGTAAGGTAATGACGATGAGAAAGGCAGATAGAAGACCAGGAGGCATCTACATCATGAAGAAAAGCCAGCAACAGGAATGCCATAGAGAGAGAGACTTCCGAGGGGATATAATTCCAAGACCAACATCAGAGGCACACATAAACAGGATAACATCGGCAGCATATGTGACGCCGGCAAACATAATTTAGAAAGCTAAACTGGCACTCCATTAAAGGCCATTTATTCTGACTTTGTAAGAACAACATATGAATATGCAGCACCGGCATGGACTCCACACCTTACTCCCATAAAGCCATAACAGAAACAAATATAGATGTTTGAAACAGGTTTGTTCTCAAGCTGAGAGGATTTATAGATGTGCGGATAAACTAATGGAACTAGATCTCACAACCCTAGAAGACAGAAGGAACAGAGGAGATATGATCACAATATACAAGATACTGGGGGGATTAGACAAGGTGGACAAGGACTGCCTCTTGAGAGAACGCAGGACAAGGGGAACACACCAGGAAACTGAGAACGCAAATGGGTCGAAGGAATATAAGATTCGAACGAGAAAATAGTTAAATTAGAACGCAATAGGTACTGATAGGTATAAGTACAACTCACCTATAACCCACCCCCACAACTCACCCTTACCGCAACCCATCCCCTACCACATCTGCCTATTAATCACCACAACTAACTTAACCCCACCTAAATTCCTCCACCACAACCCACCCCACACCCATAACTCACCCCTCACCACAACCCACTACCCGCACGCGAAATTGCGTGCAATGTCTTGCCGTCCAAGTCACACGATTTGACAGTCCCTATTGACTTGCGCGCTTGTCTCTCACTCGACCTGCGCCTCCCCGTGACGGTGGTGGTGACGGTGGTGACGGCGGTGACATCCCGCCCAAGGGATGGTTATGGGGTGCATAATAAAGAAATTGAATTGTGAGATGGCGGTCAATTTTTGGTGAATGGAAAGGGTGGCAGACGCAGGTGTAGGGGGTGGCAGCCGCTGGTGTAGAGGGTGGCAGCCGCTGGTGTAAGGGGTGGCAGCCGCAGGTGTAGGGGGTGGCAGCCGCTGGTGTAGGGGGTGGTAGCCGCTGGTGTAGGGGGTGTGGCAGCCGCTGGTGTGGGGTGTGGCAGCCGCTGGTGTAGAGGGTGGCAGCCGCTGGTGTAAGGGGTGGCAGCCGCAGGTGTAGGGGGTGGCAGCCGCTGGTGTAGGGGGTGGTAGCCGCTGGTGTAGGGGGTGTGGCAGCCGCTGGTGTGGGGTGTGGCAGCTGCTGGTGTAGAGGGTGGCAGTCGCAGGTGTAGGGGGTGGCAGCCGCTGGTGTAGAGGGTGGCAGCCGCAGGTGTAGAGGGTGGCAGCCGCAGGTATAGAGGGTGGCAGCCGCAGGTGTTGGAGGTGGCAGCCGCAGGTGTAGGGGTGGCAGCCGCTGATAAGAGTGGTATGGGATGATAGCCTACGAGGCCGAAGAGGCCTCAGCGAAAATACAAAACATTGCAATTCCTCTAAAATACACAATGCAACTCTCTGTTCAACTTGCTGGACCCAGAAACAGTTGAAGGAGGAGTGGAGAAACACAAGAACAAGGGAAGAGAGGAGGAACGATAAGTGTTCGTGTTACGCATACAAATAAAATTAAATGACGGAGCTTAACAAACACAAAAACGTGACGCTAATACACTTCCAGACACGCGTACGAAACGATTGAACATACTTCGTAAATAATTAACAAGGACAACAAGCACACACACGCAAATACATGCACAGCAACACTGACGAACCCAACAACATATATACACGAAGTAGCCTCGTTATAACTAAATTTTAAATTCCTTTCTCTTGCAAGTCCAAGCCTAGTGCAGTGTTTAATTTGTAAATACATTGTCAAACTGATATTGTTATGCTATTTTTTATATAATTATGAAATAGGATTTGTCTTGTTACATTACCTTAATCGTATATGTGAAAATTTACCTTCCAGTTAATTGCAGAATTATTTACTAGCATAGTGAGTCATGGCTGAATTGTTAGTTGATTCGCATGTTGCATATGTATCAGGGAAGTTGAATTAGTTATACAAATGAAACTAAAACCATACATTTTTGTTCTGTAATTAGTAGAATTTAATCTAATGTTCATATCGTAGTTTTAGCATGTTGCATGCGCTGATTTGTAAAATTTATTATAATTTGGATTATTGTGAAACAAGAAGACCTATAGTCAGTATATTTCAGAATAATAATAAAACTACTCACATGTAGATCACAACACCCCCGCGCTAAGAAGGGAGTAAGTAAAGGGTAGTTAACAGTCTAGACAGTGATAGGCGAGCCCTTGCTACATCCGGAAAGCTCACGGGCTCACCATAGCCCGTGCTACTTGGAACTTTTTGTTCTAGGTAGCGAATCTTTAGCAACAACATACATCCGAAAAGCCTCCCCTGGATAGTGTCTATAATTAAGGTTGCCAGCTTGTGGATTATGTGTGTAACTTTGTGAAGAGAGATGGATGGAAATAATGCAAGAGATTGTGTATTCTACACTTCCCAGTGATAGGTTTTAGAGGTTGTTTATAGTAGGAGGAAAGTTGTTAAATAGTTGATCTGTCAAAACTGTGTCTATGAGCTAGAAACCCAATTCGTCAGCTCCTTAAATCGTCAATCGGTTTATGGATATCACGGAAGTAGGACCTGCTGGAAAAGGGCTGCTTAATTCTATTAATCATTGATTTACCTGGTTAGGCCGTGTTTAATACACATTTATAGCTAATAGGTTTGAAATAATCCTTAGTTATAGCATAAATTAGTGGGCTATTATATTGTGATTCCTTGTTGAAAGAGATCATGGTTACCAGTTAAATTTTACCTGTAATTTTCTCAAAGTCAGTGGTGGATATTAAGTTTTATGGTGTCTATTGCCTCGTTCCTCTAGACTGGAACACATTTAATTTAATGGCACCTTAATTATTGTGATTATTCATTTAATAACTGTTTCTTACACCTGTTTTACTAAGTACACCTCTTCCTAACTTCATGCCATTTTTAACTCATCCATAACCCTTAGACCGTCAGTCATATTTTAATATGAACTAATTTTCCTCTGCAAAAATTATGATGGAGCACTAGACCACTATCTGGAGTGATTGGAAATAACTGGATAACAATTAACTGTCTTACAACACATTTTGGAAAAAAGATTTCATCCCAGACAGGCCCCCAATTTTTTACAACACCTGTTTGAGGCACACCAACACATGTAAACACCAGACTAATGTAAAACAGAGCTTTTAATGTAAAACAGAGCTAATGTAAAAGCCAGGGCTTTTCAATAAATTTACTAAAAGCAAGTACCATGTAAAGTATAAAATCCTTTTGCGAGTGACACGTCCAATATGGAGATATTGAATGAATTAACAATATCCTACATTGTGTCTCAACACTATAAGGTTAATGAGATGCTATACTGGATAATTGTAGCTTGTTGATCTTTTTGTTAATCTTTGATAACCTCTGTAACCTGTCTGTCTTTAGCGTTGCTAAGCATGGCAAATCACCTGGATATTCAAGCTATAGAAATAAGAATTATTGCACATCAAAATTATTGCATTTGTAAAGCATATCTCCTGTTCCTACCATCACCTCCTCAATCTCACTTTACTCCTTCTCCTCCTCTCTCCTTCCCGGTCGGGAGCCGGTCGGCCGAGCGGACAACACGCTCGACTTGTGATCCTGGGTTCGATCCCAGGCGCCGGCGAGAAACAATGGGCAGAGTTTCTTTCACCCTATGCCCCTGTTACCTAGCAGTAA